CAAGTGGGTTGCCAACAGAAAATCCTCATAGGACCCCAAATGACCAAACTGCTATGGGCCCCGCATGGGCTTACTCACAGGGGGCCCCGAGTGGGTTTCGTGTTGGCAAGCCCGCTGTGGGCTGCCCACACGAAACCCCCATAGGGCCCACAAAGGGCAACACTGCTGTGGGCCCCGCATGGGCTAACCCACATGGGGCCCACGTGGGTTTAGTGTGGGTTTGTTCTGCCCACACTGTCCCACAGAAAACCCGCAGTGGGCCCGTTTGCTGGGAAATCTCAACACCGGTACAGCTGAATCACTCCCGCTGTTTTCAAATGACTGATTTAATCTGATAGTATGTGTGGATTTATTTAATCATCTAACCTATATTCGTCTATTGAATATGTTTGTAGGAATTTCCCTCATTATAAACCCGAAAGCAGATTAAACATAATTCTATTATACAGAGATTTAAGGAAAAAAATCCACGACTGTTTTAAAATTTCATAACTTTTCCATTTTTTTCATGACCGTAAGAAGATGCACGCTGTAATCACGTAAGCTGGTCCTGCATTGCGCGAATGCTCCGTTGCCTCTCCCTCCTCTAATCATGCCGGATCCGTCACCCCACTTTGTTCCGGGACCTTGCAATTTACAAATTAAGCACTGGCTCCGCCCTGTTCGGAACAAACACATTAAAACCACTGCTACAGAAAATAAGCATTTTTATGTTTTTATTTGTTTGTTTGTGTGTAATTAGACGTTTGATTCAAAACTAGTACTTATTAAATTGCTAAATGTATAGGTGTGAGATTAAGTCAGTTTGTTTCGCCTACTTTTATTTTGAAAAAGTAGGTCGGGTAATACGGCGGAAGTAAACAGTCCGGTTGTTGCTTAATTCACAGCTTTACGCGAGGGCCTATTCAAAACCCAATAGTGTATGAACAGTGTAATAAACACTACTAAATGTAGTAGTGAAACCTTACATTAGAAAACGATGTCAACAGCAATGAACTTCGGAACCAAGACCTTCCGACAGCGTCCACCGGACAAAGGAGCGTTTCCCTTGGATCATTTCGGTAAGAGTGATTGTGCGCATGCAACAAACAGTCACAACCAATAACTTTGAATTAACAAATCAAAATAATATTTTGTGTACGCAGGTGAATGTAAATCATTTAAAGAGACATATATGCGATGCCTTAGAGACAACCATTTTGACAGTTCGCATTGTCGGGTAGAGACAAAGGAGTATCTGGAGTGCAGGATGGACAGGTTAGTTTTTTTTAAAGAACTGATTTGACCTGAAGTTGTGAAATTACAAATACATCAGGAACTACTTATAAACGTTTTATTTATTTCTCAGACAGTTAATGGCAAAGGAACCCTTTGAAAAACTTGGCTTTAAGGACTTGATGGAGGAATCAGACGAAGAAAATAAAGCCAAACTCTGACAAAGTATAATTCGGGCTGATGTTCACATTTTGTTAAACAAACAATGTGTTTGAGGGGACACAGGCAGTGTTCGAATTGTGTTAAAGCTCTTGGGTTGCCCCCATGCCCCCTTTAAAAAATAAAAAATAAAACCTTATATAAATATGATTCATATATTTGTCTTGTCCTCATTGTCGTTGAGAAAACCTAATTCTAAGATAAAAGCTTATTTTACGATGATCAGTAAATTAGGTATACAAACAATCACTAAGCAAAGAATAATTAAATATCTAGCCTAGGGGTGTGCAATATTGACAAAACATTTGATTGATAACAATAATCAGACGATATTTTGCTGAGTGTGTTGTGCTGCAGGACTGCCTTTTTATATTCTTTATATTCTGTGTGGTCAGTTCACAGCAGTGACAGAAATTAATCTTTTTCAACTAGTTCAAAGTGATTTTTACCATTTATGGGCATTTTTCCTTTAAAAAGCCATTTTTTTCTAGAAGTGTGTATTATCTTTTCTGTCTAATTCGTTTATTTAATCAATAAAGTCAATTAGAATAATAAGACATTTGGGCTGTTACCAAACAAATAAAATCATTATCAACAAAATTCATCTTTGCAATGCAGAGGAATCACAGAAGCTGCATCTGAAGTGGCATTTAGATGTATTTACACACTGTTTAATGCAGGACATAAATGCATTTAACCTGCAGTTACAAATGCATAAATAATGTTTTGATATTTTAATCCTAAAACATTGATTACTGATATTTGAAATTATTTAAAAAAATTAAAAGGTACTTTAAATGTGATATTAAAACCGTCAGTTGGTGGCAGCAATTTGTTAGCTGTGTCCCAAAGTGAAGTGCGCATTTGAAGTGCGATTGCATTACAGCGGCGCGACGAAGGCTGTCACAATGTGAAGTGCGTGCACTCCGAAGTGCGCATTTGAAGTGTGATTGCGTCACAGCGTCACGACGTAAGCTGTCCCAATTCAGGAATGCACCCTCCGAAGACCACGCGTCACTGCGGCGTGACGAAGGCTGCCGTAATTGAAGTGTACATCTGATGGACACTTCACACCCTACCATATCCCATAATCAATTGCGCACAGATCACGATAGAATTTATATTCAAAGAACATGGAGGATAAGAGTTCTGTGGGGGAATTCACATTGAAATGTAAGTATTGTGTTTTCATTTACTCAAATACCTAGCGAAACAAGTATTAAAAACCAGGGTCTAAAAAAAAAAAAGCCCACAAACAATAAGACAACCACTATACAGTATAAGGCAATAGCCTTTCTTTTTGTTGTGTTTTTGTAGTGCTGTTATGTCTACAAATGTTTTAACCAAACTTTAGCACTTCAGTATTTTGTATGCATGTCCTGCTGTGTCATATTTTCTAATGTTAAAGGTGCAATAGGTGATTGTCTTCAGAAACATTTTTTGTTATGCTGGTTGAAAGTCTCATCACATCCCGATAGCAATCATTAAGTTAAGTGGTCTAAATGTATTTATCTGTATTTATATATTCTGTGGACGGC